CCCCATTTACAGAACCTCTGCACGTCCAGGGGTTGTCAAACAAGCATGGCCCGTCCATTTACACTTAGGAGTGGTCCGCGTAAAGACATTGAGTCTCAATTGAAGTTGATGGGCACTTTTTTTTTTCATCTTTCTATTTGTGCATAATTATGTACAAAGAAAGGGGGAAAAAATAGTTAGAGAGAGAGAGAGAGAGAGAGCAAATAAGTTAAATTTTAATATAGTAATATAATCTGACATAATGTATATGACACTTTATTATTAAAGTGTTTTAAACGTAATTAACTTTTACATTAATCACATCTTGCAAACACTCATTATGTCACTCTTTCTGTTGACCATTTTTTGACAAAGTGGCATAATCCATTTTCATATAATGCCAATATATATATATATATATATATATATATTCACAAATTAGATACTTATTATAAAAAAAAAAATTAAAAATTTTAGTATTTGATTTTTCATTTTCACGCATCCTTATAATTTAAGGATTATTATCTTAAGTTTATTGTTTCAAAATTTGAATTTCACTAATTTCATATGCCTTTCGTTCTTTAAATTTTTATGGAGAGAGAAAAGTTCTGTCTTTATCATATTTGATGAGAGAAATTTCATAACAAATTTTTTAAAATTTCATTCATCTTCCCATTATTTATTTCAAAAACATAGGGAAAAATCTTTATGTATCTCGGATATTAGGGGAAAGAAGTTACACAAATCATTCTCCACATGTTCATCACAACTTTCGAGTTAAGGAAAGTCACAAAGACAAGAATACCACAACACGTGTTATATATATTTGAGGTTACAAATATGATTGACACGGATATAACCTCAGTCCAATGCATTCGAGATTTCAATCTTTATACACTTGACATTATTTTGAAAAGAGACATGCGACATACTATATCAACTTGTACGTAAGTCTCAGAGAAAGTGATGTAGTATAACATAATTCCAAATTTTTGATGTTGTTTGTTAATTGCGACCTTCATAATTTGATGCAAATAATTTGTTGCGACTAAAAAAATGTCCAAAAAAAATTAAATTAATGGCGCCACAAATATTTATCCAGATATTTTTAAGTTTGTACTATTTTGTTGCTCATTATGTGACTCGACCAATTGCATTGGAGCCACATATTTTCACATCTCCCTTTTTGTAAGTGCGATTTTGAATGTTTAGATAGATTGAGTATAGTAAGTGCCCTATATTGCTTTACGTCATCAATCAACAAATGAAAGCTAAAAACATACAAAAACATGACATCTTGGAAACAATCATATTGTGTAAATTGGGTGGTTGAGCCAACTAGACTGGTACCTCTTTTCAAACTTTACCGATATATGTAAAGTACAAATTTAGTTCAGATTAAAAATAATTTGAACTATGCAACGAGTATTTCTTGACAAATTAAGATAATCAGCACGAAAAGGTACGAGTTTCTAGAGTTAGATAGAGTCAACGTTCGAACCACAAGGGTAAACATGTTTTTTCTATTTATTTTTGTTATCCAATTTATTTCTAGGAAAAAAAAATGCACGTCTACAGCCAAACCCTTGACATGTTAGGTTTTCTCAAGCCTAGGCGCCCCGAACTCAATTTACAACATTTAGAAATGGTAATTTGAACCGTTAAAATCGAAAATCTCGGTTAACAGAACCGAACGTGGCGAAAAAAATTGAACTGATGTTGCAATGAGGTGAATATGATATTTGATTTTAATGACCCGGTTTGGAATGTGTCAGGTATGGTATTACGCCATCGACCGGCCCCGAACCAATTACTTGTTAATTTTTTTTTATAAGTACTCGTTAAAAAATAATAATTAGGTAATTGGGCTTTCCATTATTTTTTCTATGAATGAAGATTGAATATGAATTGAGGTTAGAGCTTTTGAGTTATTAAGTAGGAATTAAGTTCGATGCATAAGGATCAAGAGACAAAGATATTGTTTAGTATTGCTATATTGATAATATTGTTTGTTAAATTCGAATTTTACATTTGAAAATTGAGATATTGTTTACATTTTCATTTGGAATATTATTTGCTAAATTGACCAAGTTTTTTTTTTTTTTAAGTATTGTGAAATGTGATTATGTGATTTGTGAAAATTGAAGATGAGAAGTTAGGGAATTTATAATTTGTGATAAATTGGTGTTGGGAATTGAAAATTGAAATTTTAATTATATTTTAAAATTAATTTTAATTATAATACAGATTGTAGAATTATTTTTTCAATCAATATCCCAACCTAATTCTTATAGTGGTGTATCTAATCCCGTAACTACTTCTAGTCAAGCAAACGGTTTATTAAGCATTGATAATATAAAGAAATCTCATGTATCATAATTAATTTTATATTATTTCGGATTGTATTGTACTGTGATTTGATATAAATGTACGATTTTTACATTTTAGTGTATTTACATATAGATAGAATAATTTTTAATATTATTTAATTTGATATTAATAGATGACATAGCTATACGGCCATTGATTGTTGAAAGTCAATGATCAACAACCGCCCTAGTTGGGTTGAAGTCCTGAATTTGCACATGTTCGTGGTTATTAACCGCCCAAGCCAAACCGAGATACGAACCGAATCGACTTACGTGGTTATGATGCGATTATAGTATGTCCAAAAAATTTGTGGTTCGATGATTATTTTGGGCAAACCGTTGCCAACCGTAACAACATTATATGTCAACATAGTGTGACATGTACACCTAACTAAAATTGTTCGAGGTGAATGGAAGCTAATCACGAATGTCTCTATAGAATATTTTGATCAACGTGTGATATATTAGGTTACAAGTATTTTGAAGAAGTTCTTGTTCACACGATCCTATCACTGTGGATTGAAAAATGAGTAATATGTGTCACATTCTCTTAAATTAATATTAATAACTTTCAATGTGATTCTAAGCTGGCATTCATAAACGCAGAAAATCATAAATCAAAAGTGATTTATGTTCTATTACCTTGAAATAATCATGCGAAACGCCCTTTAATAAAATTATTTATAAGTCAATAAGAAAAACATTGATTTATTTATTAAGTAATTTTTTTTTCTCGTGTTTACTCAACACAATAAACTAAATATTTTTTGAAGTTTACTTTAGATAAATCAATTTTTTTGTAACTTGAAATTAAAACGTGAAAGATATTAAATTTTTGCTTAATCTTTTTATCTTCGATAGAAGAACTACTCAGATAAATGAAACGTAAAATGTTATCATTAAATGTTATCTAGCCCCTATTTAAAAGATTTTCATAAAAAATGATAAAATATATAATTAAAAAGTTATGAATTTCATAAAATATGTGGTTATAATTAATTGTTAATTTTAATTTAAAAGATTAATACGATTTTAATACATACCAAAAAAGAGGGGCCTTGTGTGCTTTTCAATTATGTAGTACACATGTTAAATAAGCTTTTTATAAAAATAATTAATCATAATGGAGATTGACCCTACTGAAAGAGATGCTAAAATGTAACTTAGTTCTAGGTGTCGGGTGGTCGGTCTAAGTATTTTAATACTCAAAATCATCCATTACATTATGACTATTTCATAAATAAAGTTATTCAAGTTCACTGAAATATTTTTGGAATCGAACTCAAACCCAAATTCAAAACTAAGGATACTTTAACGAAATCCATCAACACCTTTATGAGGGAACAATAACAATCGTATTGCTCGAGTATCGATTATTTTTTATCGATAGTTACTATGGTGCAATACAATAGAATGCATTATTTTGCTGTATTGGTAATACAATATTTTATCTGATAAAAATTAAACGTGTTATTAAAATAATACAGTACAGTAATTAAATACATACAAAAGATTACAAAAGGTAATACGCCAAAAGTCCGACATTTTTTTTTTATTAGCTATAATATTGTAAACAACGTTAATTAAATGATCAATGAAAACCTTGAAAAAATATGAAGATCTACAAACTTGATTTAGATACGCCAAGCATGTCGAGGCAAATTAATAAAGAAATAACAACGTTAATTAAACAAACCCACGTGGAAGTTTTATTTATTTGACATTTGAACCTTAAGTGTTAAGAATTAATTTAAATGAAAAAATAATGATAATTATCATTATAAATATTTGGTTTGCATTCATTTATTTATTCAGTAGTTTTAGAACAACAAAATATATTGAAAATAATAAAAAAATAAATAAATTTACATCTAGATTTGTAAATCTTGAAGTTTGACTTTACCGACTAACTTTGATTTTACGTTTTTTAGAATACTGAAATACACTCTAGTTAATTTACTTTTATTGTATTGTATTAAACTATTAATTAGACATTAAGCAAAATTAAAAGTCAAAATAATTTGTTCACCAGATGAATATAATAAACATACTTGGAATCAAACGGGGAATATCCATTGAGATTCTTAAAGCTAACCTGACTTTTGATTTGGTAAGTTTTATTTGAAGAACTATTGATAATTTAATACAATATGATGCATAGAAAATAAAATTAAAATGTTCCTACCGGCTACACGTCAAAGAGAAGTTCTCCTACTACTTCAATTTATTTTTTTGATTAAAATTCGATGATTTTGGGAATCTTTCGATATTCAAGTCAATATTGTGAACTCCTATTGTTGAAAAATTTGCCAAGAACGTTAAACATTATTGAGCTCAGGTATCGAGCTAATGGCAGTTGTTTTACTTTGACAAACAATCTAATTCTACAGTAAATTTAG